GCAAGGCTACAATTAAGGGAGATGGCCAATTTTCACTCTCACTGTAAAACTAGTCGGGCTTATCCAACAATGTCAGGCTTATCCTTACAGACTTGCAGGTGGATGCCCCTGCCATTTCTCCTTTTTGTTTTCTGCATATAAGATATTTTTGCCATTTCTCCTTTTTTGTTTTTTCTTTTCCCTTTTGTGTCTGAGATATTCTTTCATGAACTAGAATAAGAATGTTAAAGATGAAGAGAATCTATGAAGAAGAGAATTACACACAAACACCCCTCAGGGGAAAAATTGCCTCTTGCAACACATGTCACTTCCAGACAGTTGTCATGTGTGGTCCCTCATAGCAGCTCCAGCCAGCTAAATAATTGACACCAGCAAAGGCTGGGTGCATATTAAAAATGTGTGCACATACTGTTTGTTTAAGTTTTCACCAGAGGTGGCATCTTGGCCATCAAAATGAGAACTCACAGAAACTGAACATGATTGGGGACTCATCAATTAAGGAGGGAGCCAAGAGGGAGGTAGTAACCACTTGCTAACCTCTCCTGTCCCCCAGGAGCTTGTCCAGGCAGTATGATTAGCCAAGTCCTCTCTGACAGACAGGAGCCTGGGACAGAGTCACAGGCACCAGCTATCTTCCCCACCCCCTGCAGTCACCGGGGCAGCCTCCTGGAGATGTCGAATACCAAGAGAGGGAAGGGAGGGGTGGGGATCACACATCTCCCAGGGAGAAGACCACCAAGATGGAAAGCAAGCTGAAAAAAGCAAGTAGCAACCACACAGACAGTGTGTTACCATTTGCTTTGCAGAAAACACACAATGATACTACATTTGCAGAGGTACATATAAACATATGTAAAAGCACAGAACAATCTAGCTCCTCAAAGATGGGGAGATTACGGGGCGGCCCGTGGCTCACTCGGGAGAGTGCGGTGCTGATAACACCAAGGCCCCGGGTTCGGATCCTATATAGGGATGGCCGGTTTGCTCACTGGGTGAGCATGGTGCTGACAACACCAAGTCAAGGGTTAAGATCCCCTTGCCAGTCATCTTTAAAAAAAAAAAAAAAAAAAAAGATGGGGAGATTACTGAGCAAACTACACGAAGATGATGGAATGTGGTCTAGGTATTAAAATGACTGTAGATAAAAATCATTTTAAATTTTAAAATAACACAAAAGAGAACGTATAGACGGATTCCCACTGTGTATAAAATGTACGCATGCGCATCCGCAAGTAAAGAGAAGGGAGATCTAAACGGAGTCAGGGTTTGTATGACTGTAAAGTTGATTTAAAGCATACTCAATACAAGCCAGTGGGGAAAGGGTTCTTATTTCAATATTTAAAAGACACAGCATAATTGGCTTTAAGAAAAAAAAAAAAAGGAAAAGACTAGAATGATATCCATTCTACCAATGACAGTGGTTGACTGGTTGGTTTTGAGAGAAGATGGGAATGGGGGAAGGACTTTCACATAAATTTTTTTTTTAATTTTTTTATAATGCAATTTTCATATTGAATTGATGTGATATTACTATGACTAAAAAGAAAGACATGAGATCTTGGGCGCACACACACTACCCTCCTACCTTCTCCACCTCGGCAACCCACCCATAGAAAATCACTGCTTTAAACCAAAGGTGAAGGCTCCCCACCTACGACCATAACTTCATAGAGAAGCAAAACTGCAAAGATCACAAAAATGTCAGTGTCACAAAAACAGCTGCCCAGTGTCCTTTCTGTTTGTCCCTAGGGCCATCCTAGAGGGAACACTGGGCTGGGGATGGCTGAAGAGCACTGCCTGTCACCGGACCCCTCGCCTGCCCTCTTCCCAGGCCTAGCAGTCTACACCTTCTTACTACGCCTGAGTCTTCCCCTCTCATTAAGACACCATTTGGCAAAGCCTCTGTAAATCCCTGTCGGTTCATTTCCCATGAGCAGTTAACCGCACGAGCCTTCTCTACTTTATTCCCAGGTAAACAAATGAAAACAAATACCCAGTTCGGAGAGCGACTTGATGCATCTGAAGTTAACAAAGGCACAACAGCTTCAACCTGACAGGCTGTTATGAGTAAAACCCTTTTCATGAGCAATATTTCGCTTTGACTCCAAAGGGAGACAAATAAGTCTGAAAGGCTGGACGCACAGAAATGGAGTTAAAAACGAATAGTCACGTGTTAACTGTTTCCTTCCCACCAGCCCAAGAGGTTTGCTGCCCCTCGGGTCCTGAATATGCAACCAGGTTGGGGGCTCTGATGTCCCCAGGCACTGGGACCTGTGCTTGAACGGCCGTGGGCAAGGATTCAAGTCAGAGCGCTGCTGCAGAATCTGACATCTCTGTCCTTCCTGGACTTCTGCAGTTGCTTATTTAACCAGGTGAAACAACACAGAGACTGATTCACTTCTGTTTACCCCGTCAAACTCCAAGCACTGTTGCAGGGGACAGGAAGGAGAGCCTGGGGTTTTCTGCAGACAGGCACCCCTTTATCCCGGGGCCTATTCCAAAGGATGGGAGCCCGTTAGTCAAAACTGCAACCAAAGCCTTTTGCTCCACCTACTTCATCCTGTTCCTGGGGCCATCTGCTGAACAGTGGGGCTTGGCCATAAGGTGGAATGAATTGGGAACTGAAAAGATCTGGAGCTAAATCTACCCATAGAACTTTCCATAGCCTTAAGAGCTACTGGTTCGTAAATTCCAAGAAAAGCGAACATACTGAAGACAGATCCTAGCCCCTGAGAAGACCGTATCCCCTGTGGGTGCTCAGTCAATACCAGACAACCACAAAGACACAAGATCAAAACCCATAAACTCAGACTCTACAACGCATCCTCCATAGATCCAAACTGTGGCCTTTTTCAGGTTTGGTGAGCAAATTAATAGAGAAACCAAGGGAAAACTTTAGCCAGGCTTAGAGGGAAGGTCAACAGACCATTTCCAAGCATGACTCTTTCAACATTTGTATTCAATGACTGTAGCAATTAGAAATAATTCTCATCTATTTATAAGATCTTCTAAGACAAATTCCCCTTCTCACGTCAATGGCAGGAATTAATTTCTTTTCAAATGTCCTAGATCAGATGTTTACTGTTGGGCTGATCTTTCTGCCAACCAGTGAGGTTCTGGGCCTTGTTGGTCATTACGCCTCTTTCTGAGGTCCTACCTCCCCTCCCCAGACAGTCACCCCCCACTCTCCAGGCATTCCTGATTTTCTGCACAGTCTATCCAGGACTTTGCCCTGGGATCTTCTCCATATTCAAAGCATATTTAAAACAAACATAAACCAAAAGATTAAAAAAAGGACAGCACAGTACAAATTGGCCGATGACTATTTACACTGCCCAGAGAAAGCCCCTACACTCAGACAGCTGATCAAATACACCCGACACCACCCCCAACCCCAGTACAAGTAGAAATGACCCATCATGATTGTAAAGAGCCCTCTGCAAGAGACTCTCTTCGAAGCCCAGTTGGGCTCAGGTGAGAAGGGCAGAAGGGGACCCAGCAGGGGCTCTGCAGAATGGCTGAGCCAGATTTCTGTCTGCTATTCAGGAGTTAAAGCCACTGGCCACAAGATCTTCCTGCCGGGCAAGTAGAATATACTCTGACTGCAAGTTCCCCCACAACCAGGGTGGATTTGAGAGCAGAATGTGCCAGCCCACACTGAGGACCTCTGGAAACTACTACCACTCCACTATATTCCACAGCAAGGAAGCCAAATGTCCAGAGTTCAAACAAACAAACAAAAAAAAATGGCAATGGTCTTTCCTCTAAGACAATATCACAACTGTCCTTCCAACCATCACATCCACCTGTCTGGTCCCGAGGATAGTCGTTCCATAACACGAGCAGTCAGTTTCTCATAAGCCCCAGGGACTAGAGGCCAGGTTCCTAAGAAGTCCTCCTTCTCTTTCTCCAGTAGGAAATTTAAGGCAAGAAAGGTGGCAGGTAGGCAGGGAAGAGAACCTCACCTACCTCCTGGGGTGCACGTCCATCGACTCCAGTGAGCCTGACTTACACCTGCCTCATCGCGATCCAACAGAAGACACATCCTTTGGCCCCACTCTCCCCCTTACAGTTCTTCCTTTACCTCCTCCTTTTCTTTCTCCCTTTTTTTAAAGCACCAGCTCAGGGGTGCTTCTGCCCACCTCTAGGACTTGCTGGGGCACAGTTTCTGGTAAGGGTGCCTGCACCTGCCACACGTTGCTATTGGCACCGACCCCTCTCCTCTACTGACAGTAGTGCATGCAGATGGCAAAGCTGCAGCCATGGCTCGTGGTGACGATCACATGGCCTGAATTTGGCTTTCTCTGCTCGGCCATCACAGCTGTACTTTGAGCTGCGGTTCATGCTGTGATTCTCTTTAAGCAAGTACAAGCTCACTCCCATGCTCACCAGAGCTATTTCAGCAAAATAAAAAAGCCTAAAATCTCCAACTCATCCCCAATTCCAGTGCCTTTTTAAACTCTTTACTTCACAATCCCTCAAGGGAGTTATCCTCAAATTGCAGGAAGGAAAACTGGAACAGAGGGACACACAACCAATAAATGGCAGAAGTGAGATCAAACCCAGAGCCCCGTCTTCCCTCCTCACACTCCTATCACCCCTGCTGACATGATGCTTGGTCAAAGGTCTTACGCTATAGCTTGGTGTGTGGTCATCTCCCTGATGCCATCATAAGCTCATTAAGGGTCATGACCACCCACTTCTCCCAGTTTTAGGTCCCATATCTACAGCACAATGTCAGCTACACTCTACATGTTTAATGAAATCTGACGTCCAAAATCTGAACTTACCAAAATGTAAATAAGGGCATGATGAGTAATACGACCAAGAGATTATTTTCTTTAAGGAAGAAATCACCATTGGATTTTCCTTGTCATCTGTTTAGACATAACTGGCTACTTAGAGACAGTAACATGTATATCGAGTTTGAACAGAAATAAGTCTATTGCACAGAGCTGGATGTATGCTGATACGACAGCCCAGAGTAGAGCAGTACTCACCAGGTGAGGCATCAGGAGGTCGGCCAGGTAGACGAAAGCAGCTCCAAGGGTGAAGCCAACAGCCACAGGGAAGAAGGCAAAGGCACCAAAGCCCCCAGAGGACGTGGCCATCTCAACCGCTGGGGCCAGCAGAGACCAATAGGAAGCTGCTAACATGACCTACGAAAGCCACAATAGCAACAAACCATTAAAGCAACTACAGCAGGCTTTCCAGAAGGGGATCTCTGTTGATCTCAATGGCCCAAACTGAACCCTACAATTTCACATGTGTTAGGCATTTAATACCAGGTGTTTTGTACTGTCCCAAACCAAAATGCCACCCCCAGGATTCCTGGAACTAATATTGTAAGGACTCAACTTTGGGTGGGTCTGAGTTGACCTTGGGAGGATGGAGTCTAGTTTGCTGTCATCTAGCCTCTAATTTAGTGGTTCCCAACCAGAGCTGATTTTGTTCTCTGGGGGACACTTGGCAATGTCTAGGTACATTTTTAGCTGTCACATTGGGAACAGAGTAGGGAGAGCTTGCTATTGGCATCTAATAAGTAGAGGCCAAGGGTAAATATCCTACAATAAATATCCTGGTAAATATCCTACAATGCACAGCATAGCCTCTGACAACAAAAAATTATCTGGCCCCAAATGTCAGGAATAACATTGCTGAGAAATCTTGTTTTAATTGAATACAGAGAGTCCCCAACTTAAGATGGCTTGACTTAATTTTTCAGCTTTACAATGACACGAGACTGTCCCAATTTTGATGTACTTCAAATTTTGAATTTTGATCTTTTCCTGGATAGCAATATGCATGCAGTACATGAGATATTCAACACTTTCATGTAAAATAGGCTTTATGTTAGATGATTTTGCCCAACCGTAGGCTAATGTAAGTGTTCTGAATACATTTAAGCTATGCTAGGCTAAACTATGATGTCTAATAGGTTAGGTGTATTAAATGCATTTTGGACTTATGATATGTTTAAATTATGATGGGTTTATCAAGACATAACTCCATCATAGGTCAAGTGACATCTGTACTTCTAAGACAAACTGCTCAGTACTTCATAAGCTCACTGCATTATAAGACAGCTCTAATAATTACAAAGTTCTTCCTTATGTAGGTATTTTAACCTATTAGCCCTAGGAATGCTCTCTAGAGAACCAAAGAATGAATCTTTTTTCTGTGACATGTGACAGCCTTTGAAATATTTGAAGACAACCAGTAATGTCATATTGGTCTCATCAGTTAATTTTCTTATCACTAAAAAGGAAGATAGAAACCAATATTTATTGATCACCCACTATTTCCAGGGACCAAACTTTACATTTGATATATTATTTTATCATCACAACAACCCAGGGAGGCAGATGTTGTTTTCTATTGTTATTTGTAGATAAAGAAATTGAATCTCAAAGTAATAAGGTAATTTGCTTAAGGTCACATAGGCAATAAGTGTCAGATCCAGGAAACTGACCAATCGGGATCATAACCAACTCAATGAGGGGAGAAACTGGAAGAGAAAAAATGAGGCTGTTCTCAAATCTCAGCAAGGTCAATTTGACAAAAGATTGTCCTGTGCTGACCAAATTAAACACTCATCTGTGGCCATTTACTCTTATAGATGCTGTGACATCTTCTTAGCAGGCGTATACCCATTTCCCATTGTCACTATATGACAGTCATCACCAACACTTAAATTGTTGAATGGGTTTCTAAAAACTACTTAATTGTGCCTTGCCTTAAAAAAAATCTGCATCGCTCATCTCCAAAATAATGTTCAGAGTGACAGAACCACGTATTACAACAGCAACAATAAAGAACATATCCATGCATCAATCCATGAATTCCCTTCTGCCAGCAGCCATCATTCACACACAGCCGCCTGCTCTGGGGCCAAATTCTCCCCCCAAACTCTTAGTGCCACCCACGGAAAACTGCACCTGCCTCCGAGGCTCCCAGGAAGAATGAAAATGCCTTATCTCAATAGGATGGGAACTGCAGTTGACCAGTTCAACGTCATGAGCCAGTGTATTAGTCTGTTTCTTTTGCTTATAACAAAGTATCTGGGGGCCGGCCTGTGGCTTACTCGGTAGAGTGCGGTGCTGATAACACCAAGGCCACGGGTTCGGATCCTATATAGGGATGGCCGGTTCGCTCACTGGCTGAGCGTGGTGCTGACAACACCAAGTCAAGGGTTAAGATCCCCTTACCGGTCATCTTTTAAGAAAAAAAAAAAAAGTATCTGGAACTGGGTGATTTATAAGGAAACAATATTTATTGCTTACAGTTTCAGAAGCTGAGAAGTCCACAGCAAAGGGAGCATATCTGGTGAGGGTCTTGGTGATGGTGACAGTGACCCGGGGGTCTTACACAGCAGAAATGGTGGAGCAGAGAGAACTTTTCTCATGTGCTCTTTTTTGAAAGCCCTCAAAACCACACCCTCGACTGCCATTATTAATCCATTCACTGCTACATGGTCCTTACAATCTAATCACCTCTTCAAGGCCCCACCTTTCAACTACCATGATAGGATTTCCCACCCTCAACAGTTACAGTGGGAATTAATTTTCTAATACGTGAACTTTGGGGGACACAATTCAATCAATCCACAGCAGCTGGGCTGTCAAAAAAGACCAATCGAAGGAAGCCTAAGGGCTCCTCCTCCCTGACACAGCCTAATCCATCCCTTTTCTAGGCTTTGTCTGATTAGCTTTGTAATTCAACAGCCCTTAGTTGCTGCCACTAATGGTAGACTCCCCACTGATGAGGAAGGACCTGCCTAGAGGCACAGAGAAGGAGAGGTCTTTGTTCCTCTTTTTAAACCTGACCTGTCCAACAACCACTCTCCCTGCATGTTTCAGGACCTCTCCTACAGTCCCACCTTCAATGACCTTAAAACCACATGATCCAGGCAAGGCCATTCACTTATCCTCTAAACCTTCCCCATGCCCCTCCCGTGACAAGGAAATACAGCGTCTGTGTCAGCATCATGTGAGGGAGGTACTTCCAGCCTCTGCTCTCATGTTCACAAAGGGCAGTCTCTTCTGCCAAAATTCCCTAATACCCCTCTGCATCACTGAGCACCAACCTTTCTCCTACCCCTGCATGTGAGAAGCCCACAATGTTCTCATGGACAAGTTATTCAGCATGAGGCAAAAAGGACGTGCCTTTCAAGGGAGGCATGTTGGGATCTGAGATGCTTGCAATGGAAAAGCATCCCAGATGGTTTGGGTGGGCCCCTCTTTGAGAATCATGGTGCTTTATCTTTCTAATCAAATCTAGGATCCGGTTGTATTTTCTTTATTTCTTTTCCTTGCCAGCCTCCTTGCCTCCCATATAAAATGGAAAATGACCAAAGAACAATCTGGAAATGGAATTAGGTTGCCTCTCTAAAATAATAGTAGGGCCCTCAAAAAAGTTATTGAAAGGACATATGTGGGAGACAAGATGACCATATCCCAATCCCCCAAACGTGGGAATATTTCACCTTCCATGGCAAAAGGGCCTCTGCAGATGTGATTAACTTAAGAGCCCTGAGATGGGAATATTATCCTGAATTATCTGAGTGGGGCCAATGGAATCACAAGGGTCCTTACAAGGGAGTAAGAAGGGTCAGAGTCAGAGAGACTGGAAGATGCTACATCACTGGCTTGAAGATGAAAAAAAGGTCACGAACCTAGAAATGCAGGTGGCCTCTAGAAACTGAAAAGCCACAGAAACAGATTCTCCTCCAAAATCCCTAGAAGGAACACAGCCCTGCTGCCACCTTGATTTCATTCCAGCTAAAACCATTTTGGACTTCTGGCCTCCAGGACTACAAGATAATATATTTGTGTTGTTTTACGTTACTACATTTGTAGTAGCTTGTTACAGCAGCAACAGGAAACTAATACAGCACATGAAGGCATACATTACCATTTTTAACTTTGTTTTTTAGAGCATTTTTAGGTTCACAGCAAAATCGAGTGGAAACTACAGAGAATTCCCATATTCCCCCTGTCCCGACATACACACAACCTCCCCCACCATCAACATGCCACACGGTGGCACATTTGATAAAACAGATGAACCCACATTGACACATCATTACCACTCAAGGTTCATAGTTTCCACTAGAGTCCACTCTTGGTGCTGTACATTCTGTGGGTTTTGAAAAATATATAATAATATGTATTTGCTATTATAGTATCATACAGAATAGTTTCGCTGCACTAAAAGTCCTCTGTGCTCTATTTGTCCCTGCTTCCCCACTGACCCCTGGAAACCCTTGATCTCTTTATTGTATCCATAGTTTTGGCTTTTCCAGAATGCCATATAGTTGGAATCATACAGGATGTACATTTTCATACTGGCTTCTTTCTTTAGTAATAATGCATTTAAGGTTCCTCCATGTCTTTTCATGGCTGGATAGCTCATTTATTTTTAGCGCTGAATAATATCCCATTGTCTAGTTGTACCACAGCTTGTTTATCCACTCAGCTACTGAAGGACATCTTGGTTTCTTCCAACCTTTGGCAATTACAAATAAAACTGCTATAAACATCCGTGTGCGGGTTTTTCTGTGGACAGAAGTTTTCAATTCATTTCGGTAAACAGATACCAAGGAATATTATTATTGAATATTACAGTAAGTATTACTTTTTAATGATCCCCCAATAGCAATGGCTTGCCTGAAACTCTCAACACTAGCAAAGTTCCTTTACATGTTAGACATTTTTTAATCTGGGTGTAGTGCCATATTAACTAGCTGACACGGGAGCAGAAAGTAGTGTATCTGATCAACCTCAGCTACCCCAAAGAAGCAGGACCTGGAAGGGGTAGGCCACAGAGGTGGGAGCGCTGGGCCCAAAACTTCAGGGAATGGGCTCCCAAGGCAAGTCTTGACAGCCGGTGCCCTTATGACCCAAGATGGCAGATAGCAAAAGTCCTCCTGCAGCTGTGACCCTGCTTATAAAGGCAAAAATATGGGCTGGCAGGGCCACCCCTGAAGACACAGATGTAACCATAAGGAGCTGACGCTGCGTACCTTTCTTTTCCCCGCCTTTGTCTATAAAAGGAATGCATAACTAGGTTTCAACATATGGGCTGGCAGGGCCACCCCTGAAGACACAGATGTAACCATAAGGAGCTGATGCTGCGTACCTTTCTTTTCCCCGCCTTT